TATAATTCATACTAATCTTGTGGTTTATGTTGAAAACTAAAGGTTCCTCTTGCACATACGTGCTAGTCGTTTCTGGATCTAGGAGACAGTGCTCATCTACATTTCAAAGCTGAAGACCCAGCACTGTCAGAAAACGTCTCCGTGGCCATGTGGCTGGCATGAATAAATGCTGAAGGTGCAAAGAATGCTGGCACCTTCCCACCAAAGTGGTCCTTATTTTTCTACTTGCATTTTTGTATTCTTTCGAACCACTTGGTTGGCAGAAGCTGGGACATGTAATGGGAGCTCACTCCATTACGTGGTGCTAGGGATTCAAACTGCCCAACGGCAAACCTTTCTGATCCACAAGCTCAGTGTCTGAGCCACTGAGCCACCACGGCTCTTTATATATTGCCTCTAATTTATACATTGCCCTGATTAATCTTTCGCTTTATGTTTAGACGGTGCCTTATTCAAGATGTACAGAAAGTTGCTCCTCTGGTTATGCCAAGCTTGTGAGAGAGGGAGCCCCAGTTTGCTGCTACGACTGTTCCCTGTGTATGGAAGGAACATTCTCTGGGCAAGAAGGTACAGTCGGTGGCTTCAAAAACAACACGGACACAATCAAAATTCTCTATTGCTTTTTGGGGGTATTTGATCAATAAGCAAGAAAAAACATTACACATCTTGAAGGCATCCACAAACATTTCAACGATTGAGCACTATCACTATCGAATTTTGTACGATGATGCAAGCATTAAAATAATCTATTGAGGTGATACTTTCTTGCTTGGTTTTGGGAAAGAGGACAAGTTTTGAGAGCTGATAATCACATTCATCTTCAGCCTTTAAAAAGGTTGTTGGTTATTTGAACTAATGTTGTGTCATATGAATATCCCTGGGCAGAAATATGATATTATTCCTTGAAAATGAAATAATTGATTTCTGGTGCAGTTTTCATGCTCCTACAGCAGCAGAAAGAGATACGCACTAACTAATTTTATTTCAGATGCAGCCCATTGTGAAAAGTGTCCAGATGACCAGTATTCCAATAAGAAGAGGGATCAGTGTGTCCCCAAAAGCATAAGCTTCTTATCCTATGAAGAATCATTGGGACTCATCCTGACTTTCTTTGCCATTGCTTTGTCCCTAACCACTGCCTTTATTCTGGGAATCTTCATTAAACACCAAGAAACTCCCATAGTCAAAGCCAACAACCGTGAACTCACCTTTGTTCTCCTGGTTTCTCTCCTGTTTTCTTTCTTGACCTCCCTTCTATTCATTGGTCGCCCCATGAAAATGACCTGTCTCCTTCGACAAACCATTTTCAGTATTGTTTTCTCAGTTGCCGTATCTTCTTTGCTGGCCAAGACTGTAATGGTGGTGGTGGCCTTCCTGGCTACAAAGCCAGGAAGCAGTTTGAGGAAATGGCTGGGGAAGGGTCTGGCCCACTCGATTGTTTTATCCTGCTCTGGTATTCAAGTAGGCATCTGTATGACATGGCTGGGAATCTTTCCCTCATTCCCAGATTCTGACTTTCATTCCCAGCCAGAACACATCCTGCTGCAGTGCAACGAAGGTTCAGTGGCCATGTTCTACACTGCCCTTGGCTACATGGGTTTTCTGGCTGCCATCTGTTTCTTGGTTGCATTTCTGGCTCGAAATCTGCCAGGGACCTTCAATGAAGCCAAACTGATCACCTTCAGCATGTTGGTGTTTTGTAGTGTTTGGATCTCCTTTGTTCCCAGCTACCTGAGCACCAAAGGGAAATACATGGTGGCTGTGCAGATCTTCTCCATATTGGCCTCCAGCCTAGGTTTATTGGGTTGTATTTTTGTTCCCAAGTGCTACATTATTACACTGAGACCTGACATAAACACCAAGGAACATCTGATGATGAAATCTCATTAAGGCTCCTTGTGTTGGTGTTTATTTTTGTTCAGTTTACATCCAGTATAAAATCACATATCTTGAAGTAATGTTTTATGTATTCTCACTTATTTTTCTTCATTCTGTGTAATGTTCCTAAAACAATTCAAACTATTTCAATTAATCATATCTTTCAATTGTCACAATCTGAATTCATGTTAAAGCATCACTATCATCAATGACATTAATAAAATTTCTGAAACCAGGCTTGATAAACTATTACCAGATATGTTCTGATATGGTTTTAGACTAAATTAAAGATTATGGCTAATAATATGTGTTTTTGTTGCTATATAAGTTGGTGTTATGTTTCGTTTTCAGGGATGTTTTTTATTTATTTTGTGAAGCAATTATAAGATAACAGGTATAACTATGAACATACTTATGAATACATGAAATGGATACGAATAAGGAAAAAAAAGAAAAAAATAAGACAGGGAAGGTAAGCACATTGGTGCGCTTATGCACGCCCCCTACAGACCTCTTAGGAAAGGGGTGAGGTCAATAGTAGACAGTCTAAGGTTAAAGTTTTTGGGGTTTGGGGAAGAAACCACAGAGTCAGGTAGGGTATTCCAGACATTGACCACTCTGTTGCTGAAGTCATATTTTCTGCAATCAAGTTTGGTGTGGTTTACCTTGAGTTTGTGTCTATTGTTTGGTCTTGTATTGTTATTGTTGCATTCTGAAAAGACTGAGCTGAAGTCTTCACTCGGGGCCGTGCTTCTCGCTGGAACACGGACTGTTCCTATTGGCTGATTCGTTTCACAGCTGACTATAAAAGGGAGCTGTCAAACGGCATCAGCTGTTGCCTGCGAGCTGGCTGCCTTGTTAGCGCGGCAGTTGCGGCAACCCTTTATTGTTTCAATAAAGTTAAAGCTGAAGTTTGCTCCGCATTCGCCTCAGTTATTCTGCCACTCCACTACACTGGCGACGAGGGCGGGATGCATATAAGAGCAAAGAATTGCTGAGCGAAGTCACTACAAAAATAGCCAAAGCCACTACCGAGCTGTATGTCACTTTAAGAGCTTATTGTCATTCTTCATGAGCTCGAATTTCAACTTTCCCCAGAAGAACTGCCACCGCTGAGATGAGATGTCTTCAAACCCTGCATTCCCGCCTTTCAGACCGACAGCAGAGACATGGGAGTCCTACAGAAACCGATTTGACTGTTTCCTAGATGCCATAGACCTCGCTGACATTTCCAACCATAGGAAAAAATCTTACATTTTAAGTTTTTGCAGAACCACAGTGTTTGACACTGCTGCAGCATTGCTTGCTCCATGTTCAATTAAGACTATTCCATGGGAAGAATTGCAGGAAATTTTTTCTAACCATTATTCCCCTAAGCCCTCCCGAATTGCCAGATATCATGCTTTTAGGAGATGGACCCAGGCTGAGGGAGGGACTATTAGTGGGTATATGGCAGCTTTACGAACAGCTGCCTTGCACTGTCGGTTTAGAGACTATCTGGAGGACATGCTATTAGATCAACTAGTTTGTGGAGTCCGGGACTTAAGGCTACAAAGGCGTCTATTGGCTAAAGGGGATTTGACCCCAAAATTACCAATAGAGGAATCTCAAGCTGCAGAGCTGTCACCATTTTCAACAGCAGAAATTCAGGGAAATCCAGTCAGTCAGAACAGCTCAGCCATTCATTACGATGAAGCCTCCACAGAGGAAGACTCTGAAGAAACTAGTTAGGTAAATCGCCTCAGGCAGTCCAAAACCAGTCAGAGGGAAAACAGGTCAGTTTCCAGTCAACCTCCATGATCTCAACCCATCTGTCTAAGCTGTAGAGGAAATCACCTTAGGGCATCCTGCAAGTTCAGGGATGCCATTTTTCTAAAATGCGAGAGAAAGGGTTATTTACCCAGGATCTGTCAGGCAGGAAAGATTTTTGCCCAACCACAGAAACCTCAGACAACTCAGCATTTTCAAAAACAAATTGAAGACTGTTTCACCTGCTACCATGCCAAGCTGACAATCAAAGGTGTTATTATTTCTTTAGAAGGGAAACATTGCAGGATGCAGGTAGACACCGGCTCAGCACTGTCCATCATCTTGTGGAGCACATTGAAATGACTGCTCCCCAGGATGGCAAAGAAGAGTCTTCAAGGCTGCAACTTAACCCTATGTGACTATCAAGGCAGAACCATCCCAGTCATCTGAAAAAGGCAAGTTTTTTATTCAATTTCAAAATTCAAAACGGTCACTTGCCTTTAGTGGTAGTGGATGGTGCCCTCCCAATCCTGTTGGGGTTAGACTGATTCCCCGCCCTTGGCCTTCATATAGGCGGAATCGACTCTATTGCAAATTCAGAGGTGGACGCCTTGTTCAATGACTATGCTGATGTGTTCAGCGAAGGCCTAGGCTGTTATTTGGAAACCCCAATTTCTTTCAACTTGGACCCTCTAGCAGTTCCAATTTGTTTAAATCCTCGAAGAGTGCCTTTTGCAATCCATCCTAAGCTGGACAAGGAACTAGACAAATTAATTAAACAGGGCATATTAGAGCCTGTGGCCTTCACAAAAAGGGAAACCCCAATAGTGACACCCTTCAAGAAAGATGGCAGTTTAAGAGTTTGTGCTGGTTACAAGTGCTTGTTAAACAAATATTTGCCAATCAGCGCTTATCCAGTCCCAATTATTCAGCACCTGCTGCATTCTTCTGAGCCAGGAACCATTTTCGTGAAACTAGACATATCACAAGCCTATCAACAGTTCCCTGTGATTGACACAGCCGCAGAGCTACAAACTATTGTAATGCACAGGGGCGCTTTTAAGTGTAGACGCCTCCAATTTGCTGTTAGTGTAGCCCCAGGAATTTTCCAATCATTAATGGAAAGACTGCTTCAAGGGTTATCTAGCGTAATACCTTATTTCGATGACATTTTAATATCTGCCCCTGAAAAGCCACAGTTACTGCAAAGAGTCAGAGGTGTCCTCAAGTGTTTCAGAAAGTCGGGTCTCAAATTGAAAAAAGGGAAATGCACTATTGCCACCCCTCAGGTCGAATTTTTACGGTATAGAATTGACACCTCTAGCATTCACCCAATCGAATCCAAAGCAAGGGCTATTCACAAGGCACCCACACCAACTAACAAAACTGAACTTCAGGATTTTGGGGGGCTCCTTAACTTCTATGCACCATTTTTGCCACATAAGGCTTCCATTGCAGAACCTCTGCATAGACTCCTGGACAAACAATCCCCGTGGCATTGGGGACCTAAGGAAGCCTATGATTTCAAAGCAGTCAAATCATTACTTACATCTGATGCTGTTCTAATTCAATTCAACAAAAATTTGCCTTTAGTCTTAGTTGCAGACGCATCACCTTTTGGCATTGGAGCCATTTTAAGTCACAGACTGCCTAATGGTTCTGAGGCACCCATTGCCTTTTTCTCCAGAACGCCTCAGCCATGTTGATGCCCTTAGTCGCTGCCCACTGGCTGTTCCAGTTGAGGATCCTGCACCAACCAATGATGTGTTCCTAATCAATGACCTCAAGCTTCCCATCACCACCTTTGATATTGCTGCCCACTCTGCCAAGGACAAGGTAATTTCCCAAGACCTTGACTGGGTGGGAAGGGGGTGGCTTACAGCCCCTTATTCTTCCAAATTCATGCCTTTCAAAATTCAAGAGCAAGAATTGTCTTCTTTGCAAGGCTGCTTTATTTGGGGACCAGGGTAGTGCAGACCTTCCCAGTTGCAGACCTCAGTTTTAGAAGTCCTGCATGAGGGTCACCCTGGCATTGTCAGGATGAAGGCTCTAGCTTGCAGTTATGTATGGTGGCCAGGCATGGATGCTCAGATTACTAGCTGGGTGAATGCTTGTCAGCCATGCCAGGCCACCAGACCTTCTCTGCCAGCATCCTTTCCATGAACGTGGGAAGATTCAGGGGGCCCCTGGTCTGGGTGCATATTGATCTGGATGGCCCTTTTCATGGGCGAACATTCTTAGTGATGGTTGATTCTTTTTCTAAATAGGTAGAGCTAACTTTAATGACCTCCACAACTTCAGAAGGTGTCATTAAGGCCCTGATGAGAATATTCACCACCCATGGCCTCACTGACACCATTGTGTCTGATAACGGCCCCCAATTTACTTCCTTTGAATTTGAGGTTTTCTTAGCAAACCAAGGAATCAGACATGCCCTAACAGCTCCTTTTCACCCTGCCAGTAATGGTCTGGCTGAAAGGGCAGTCAGATCTGCTAAGGGTGTCCTGGAGATGCTTGGGCCCACAGATTGGCACTCCAGACTTGCTAAGTACCTCCTAACCCAGCATATGACTCCCTGTGCCACCACAAATAGGTCTGCAGCTGAACTCCTCATGGGTCGCCATCTGAGGACTACTCTAGACAGACTCCATCCAAATTACACCCCAGTCACACCCCTGGGATCAAATAGCCAGACTAGGAAGTTTGCTGAGAATGACCAGGTCTATGCTAGGAACTATGTGGGTCACCCTTTGTGGATGCCTGGGTGGATTGTGGCAGTAACCGGTCCTAAGACTTACAGAGTCCAATTGCAAGGCAGTCGCATTTGGCGCTGCCATGTTGACCAACTAAGGGGGCGTTTGGTTATGTCTACATGTGGCCCTCCGGATGTTCTTGCTGCAGCGAGACCACCAGCACCCAAGGAAGCTCACCATGAAAATGATAGCGATGCGAGCTTACCTGAAGCCTACCTTCAGGCACCTGGGGCTGCCTGAAGCCGAGGTGCCCGCTTCTTCGTCACCAGAAGCTGCTCGCCAAGCGGAGGAGTCCCATCCAGCAGCAGCTCTGTCAGAGCTGAGAAGATCTGGTCACCTGCGCAAGCGCCTGTGTTACCTGAAGGACTACGCATGCTCTATTCGGGGAGAAAGGAGTGTTGCATTCCAAAAAGATGGAGCTGAAGTCTTCACTCCAGTCCGTGCTTCCAGCGGGAACATGGACCGTTCCTATTGGCTGATGCCATTTGACAGCTGACTATAAAAGGGAGTTGTCAAATGGCATCAGCTGTTGCCCGCCAGCTGGCTGCCTTGTTAGCGCAGCAGTTGCTGCAACACTTTATTGTTTCAATAAAGATAAAGCTGAAGTTTGCTCTACATTCGCCTCTGTTATTCCGCCGCTCCACTACAGATATGGTTGAAGCTGAAGTATTCATTGACAGGTAGGACAATGCAATGTATGATTTTATATACTATACTTCGCTCGGACAGAACGTGGCATAGTTCTAGGTTTTCTAGGTCTAGAATTTCAAGTCTGGTTGCCTAAGGTATTCTGCAACGAGTAGAGGAATGGAGAACTCTTCTTGTGAAATATTTCTGGACTTTTTCAACTGTGTTAATATCAGGTACGTAATGTGGGTTCCAGACTGATGAGTTGTATTCGAGTATTAGTCTAGCAAATGTTTTGTATGCTCTAGTTCGTAGTGTAATATTACCAGAGAAAAAGCTACGTAATATTAGGTTAACAACTCTTAATGCCTTTTTGGCTATGTAGTTACAGTGGGCTCTATCACTTAATTCATTAGAGATGAATACTCCAAGATCCTTGACAGAGTTTCGATCATCAACAAGTCTTGAATATTCAGCCTGTATTTTATTTTCTGATTTTTTTGCCAATATGTAAGACAGAGCATTTATTTCTCAAGATTTCAAGTTGCCATTTGTTTGACCATTCTGATACATAGTCGAGGTCTTTTTGAAGGGTAGCAGTATTGTCTGTGGTATTGAATAGCTTTACATCATCAGTGAAGAGAATGAAGTTGCTCTTTTTTTGTTGTTGTAAATTTTATTGGTTTTTAAAAACAAACATAAACAAACAAAACATTAAAAAATCAAACTTTTTTCCATAGGTATACAAGCAGTGTGCCCGTTGGTTTACAAATTTTTTTGTGCATCCATTTCGTAGTCTTCAGTTACAGTCACATTACATAATAGCTCATATTATCAATCAAAAATTTAATACCCTAGTATCATTATTAATCAATCATTTGACTCTAGTTTTATTCATTCATATTTTATGAGATAAGCATAATTTACTTAGTTTATTTTATAACAATTCATATTATCCTCCCAAATCTATCCTAAAGACATTTTGTAGATATAATAAAAAAGTACATCTTTATATATTTATTATTTTCTATAAATCTACATATTTCATTATTGTATTTTATTATCTAACCATTGATAGAAAAGGTCCCAAATTTTATGAAAAATTGTTTATCCTCTTGATCTCTAATTTCAAATGTCAATCTACTCATTTCAGCACATTCCAATATTTTCTTAATGATTTCCTCCTGCGATGGTATTTTCTCATTTTTCCAGTATTTAGGAAATACAATCCTAGCCGCTGTTGATACATTTACAATTAGTTATTTTAAATCTTTGCTATATGTATCAGGTAAAATTCCCAATAAAAATATCTCTGGTTTCAAATCTATATGTTTTTTTGTCATTTTTTCCAACCACATGTGGATTTTAGTCCAGTATTTTCTAGCGTCCGCACAAGTCCACCACATATGGTAATATGAATCAGGTGTCTGATGACATTTCCAACATTTTTCAGATTTATTCTTGAACATTCTTGCTATTCTTGTCGGGGGGAAAATCCCACCTGTAAAACATCTTATACAAATTTTCTTTATAAGTTGTTGACATTGTCATTTTATAATTTTGAGACCACAATTTTTGCCACATCTCTAAATCAATCCCATATCCAAAGTTCTTCCCCCAAGCAATCATAGTTTCTTTAATTTGCTCCTCTTCTAGTTTAGTTTCTAATAAATATCCATACAGTTTTTTAATCACCTTTTCATCAGTACCTGTCAAAATATTATCTAGATCAGTCAATTTGTCATAGAATCCTTCTGTTTTAAATCTTTATCATACCTTGAATGTATTTGTGCATATGAAAACCATTTCATCTTTATACCTTGTTCCTCTAGTTTTGGCATAGATTTAAGTTCACCCTTTTCATTCAATATTTCCCCATATCTAACTGTTTGTTCCTTCTTGTATATTATAGGATAGGAAAATGCTTCAATAGTCGATAACCAGACTGGAATTTTCAAATAACATTGTCTTTTAATCTTCTCCCAATTTAACCACAAAGACTCCCGTATATGGTGTCTTCTAAAATACCCCTGTATTTTAGTTCCCTTGTACCATAAAAAAGTGTGCCACCCCAACAACAGATCATGTCCTTCTAATGGCAACAATCTAGTATTTCTTAATGTTATCCATTCCTTGACCCACGTCAAGTTTGTAGTTTGGTAGTACAACTCCCAGTTAGGCAAACCAAATCCTCCTCTAATTCTAGCATCTTGCAAAAGTTTTAACTTTATTCTTGCTTTCTTACCTTGCCATATATATTTAACACAATTTTATTTAAATCTTCAAAATAGTCTTTTCCCAGCCTAATTGGAATTGTTTGAAACAAATATAAAATTCTGGGTAATATATTCATCTTGATTGTTGAGATTCTCCCTATTAATGACAGTTGTAAATTTTCCCATTTCGCCAAGTCTAGCGCTATCTGCTGTTTAAGTTTAATATAATTATTCTCTTTTAACCTACTACATCTTGCTGTCAAATGTATCCCCAAATACTTGATCTTATTCGTGACTTGAATATTCAATAGATCTGCCAATTCTTCCTTTTGTCTTGATAACATATTCTTTGTCAAAAACTTTGTCTTATCTTTGTTTATTTTCAAACCAGCCACCTTGCCATATGCCTCTATCTTTTCCAATGATTTTGGTGCTCTTTCTAAAGGGTCTTCTAAGATAAAAACCAAATCATCCGCAAAGGCTTGCAGTTTAAATTCTTCCTTTTTAATTTTCATTCCTTTTATACTCTTTTCATCTCTAATATTTCTGTTTAACACTTCCAAAGTTAACACAAATAGCAAAGGTGATAGTGGGCACCCTTGTCTTGTTCTTTTTCTTATGTTAATAGGGTCTGTCAATTCTCCCTCTATCATTACTTTTGCCATTTGCTTGTAGTATATAGCTTCTATTGCTTGAACAAATTTTCTGGCAAAACCCATCTGTTCCAACAATAATAACATGAATCACCAATTCACATTATCAAATGCCTTTTGTGCATCTAGAAATATCAAAGCCATTTGTTTTTCAGGATGTGCCTCATAGTATTCCAAGGTATCCAAAATTACACTCATATTATCTTTAAAGCTGGCGTCGTGACGATACATCATGTGATCTCGGAGGTCTGAGATCGCAGCCAATATCTTTGCCCCTGGATGGTCCAAACGGATCTAAACCGTCCCAAAAAAATGGCGAAAGTGAAGAGCGCATCCTGTTGATAGCAGGGATACCACAAAGTCCCTGGTAGATCCAGGAGAAGCTATTCTTGCTGGCGGCAAAGAGGCAGCCATTAAAGCTGCTGAAGTTGGGACAGCTCCGAAATGGAAGAGAGCAGAAAGAGAAAGTGTGCTGGTTTGGTGAGAACTTTTTTATTCTAAGACTTGAAAGGACACCCTAAGGAAAAGAAAGAATCTGTAAAAGTTTTGACAGAAGTGATTAAGCGGCGATTTTAAACGGAAATGTCAAAGTAAGGTTGTTGTTTTTTTTCTCATTGCTGGATTTCTATACGTGATTTTGTATTTTGAAACTGGACTGGTTCTTTTCTTATTTATACCTATCTTTTCTTCTCCTTTTTGATTTTGTAATATTTTAGGCTAGAGGCGCCCTTTAGTTATTTAATTATTTCCTTTTTTTATATATTTTTTTCCTCTTTTTTTGGTAATTTTTATTACGTTTTGCCTGGGAAAGGAGGAGGAAAGTGAGAGCAAAGAAACTTTGTAACACTGCCAACTAGAGGCTTGAAAATGCTTTATTTCCTGTGATCAGACGAAGCTGAGAAAGCTGAGAAAGCAAGAACTGAGACTCCTTTTCAAGGACATTGCTATGTGATAAGATAGAGGGAAGAGCATGGGAGAGTGTTATTGCAGGTGCTCTTCTGGATTTCTATCAACAGTTGGAGCCTGGTGTTGAAGCTTACAAAAAGAAAAGGTGATAAGTCTTTGGAGAAGACAGTTATAATAAGAGCCTTGGATATCTAAACAAAGTGCAGTGTGCCCTTTTTATTTGTTTTTAAGTTGTGCTACCCCTCCTTACCAGATTTACTGAATTTTTTTAAAAATATCTTTATTCTTGTAATAAGTACTTGGGTTTTTGGCCTGGTTGGAGGTTTTTTTTGTTTTTTTTTTATTTGGAAGTTCAATCTTCACGTTTGCCTTTTATTTTAAAGGAAAAGCCTTAAAAGCCTTTTCTCTCTTTTTTTTCTGGCATTTTTTGTTTTTTCACCCACCTTTTTGGTTCATTTTTATGCACTTTTTTCTATTTGAGACCTTTCAATTGGATTAAGGTGTTGAAGAACCTGAATAATTTTTCCCCTTCTTTTGTTCTTTTTAAGTCTTTTTCTTTACTTAACTACTGATTGGATTAAGGTTTACAAGAACCTGAAGAAACTTTGTCTCCCCCCCTTTTTTAATTACTATTGGGCTTTTTTCTCTCTACCATTTTTATTTTTTACCTTGGATTATAATTGGCTACTTCACAATTGGATTAAGGTTTAGAAGAACCTGAAGATTTTGAATCATTTAAAATGAGTAGGAAATTTACAGCTCCTGGTTCCTCAACTTCTACTTCTGCCTCCGCACCATCTGGAGGACAACGTTCAATACAGACAATGTTAAAGCAAGAAAAAGAACAAGAAAAAGTGACTCTGCAGATGATTATGCAAGGAATCCAAGATATTATAGCAAGATCAGAGACTATTGAAAAGAGAATAGAGAACATCGAACAAAGAACAGAGAACATTGAACAAAGAACAGGGAAAACTGATGAAAAAGTGGAGAACATTCAACAAATGATGTCGAAGTATGATGAGAGATTCCAA